TCAAATATCAATCAAATCTAACGACTTATGGGGGTGAAATATACTTTTAAAACCGTTCAAAACCGTTATTATAAAATGAAAATAGAAAATATGCTTATAAAATATAAGCAAAAGCGATTAATTATATCATTATTTCATTACACTTGAAAGTGAAATATTAAGATGTGGCATTTCAGACCAACTATTGGTTTAAAAGAACATGTTACAGAGAACGCCATAATATATTCATATCGACCTATGAAATATTAATTGTATGGGTGTAAGGTGTGTTTTTATTTGCGATATTTATCGGTAAAATGTACGTTTATAAGGATGACCTCTCTTAAACTACATATATTTATCATGCATTCCCAATTTAAAGTGGTTTGTACATCATTAGTAACGTTTATCATGCTAGTTTGATAACCTCTGTAACTTCAACGTACTTCTGAATAAATGAATTCATTCCTTATGTAATAGATATGACATTGCTGTTTTGACCATTTTCGGATTTGCGAGTTTAAGAATGATTTAACTTTCAACTTTATAAAACGTACCATGAAGCTGTTTCATTGGTCAATTATAGAAAGATAAACTTTGAGTTATGAAGGAAACATAAAAAATTTGGATAATAGACGTGTTGGAATTTTAACCGTTCTCAACTCATTAATGCATTAACAGCGTAATGAGTCAACTTCATTCAATTTAATGTGTAAGTCATATTCAGCATCCCAGATTTAATATTTCAATAAAAAATGTAAATATGCTTGTACGTCTCAGCGAACTATGTTTTACTGACGGAAAATTAAATTGGGTTCGTGCCGAGCCTAATCAAAATAGATGAACAACATGTATATATTTTGACTTCACGATATTCCTGCCTTGCAAATTTGGATAAAAAAAATAGTTGATACCTTTTTTGGGTAACCAATTATGGTATAATTCACACAGTCACTAAAATCGTTATACTATTACATGTTGATATTTGGTAAAACAACGAAACCAAAAATTAAGTACACGATTTAGTAAACGATGCAGTCATTTCTTAACTAAATTCATACATATATTTGTGGCTGTATAATATTTAAATACGCTGAAGAGATAATATACAAAATGAATACAAGCAAAATGTCTAGGCATGAATGATGAACAGCAAAACTGTACTTATTGTATATATTGGATGTTTTAAAGCCCGTCTTTAAGGTTGTTTTTGTTTGCTTGTTTTTATTTATTTTGTTGTGTTTTGTTTTCTGGGGTTAGGGGGTAACTATCTGTTTTCATAAAGTATAGATTATCACATAAGTCAGGTTATTATTGAACTACTAGTAACATAATACATGTTAATATATGACCACATATTGTTGTTTATGACCGTACTTACATGACATACTGTACCCACCAAAGTAGCAACGGCATATCCTTATTTCATATTTGTATCGCTTATAAAATGTTTCTATTTTTAGAGACAAGAAATTCGTAAAGCGATTTTATATTGTTTTTAAATGATAAACATTCCGATACATATTGATATAAATCAAGTACTTAAAAGATTTAAAAGAGGAAAATTAACCAAACTTGACGCTTAATCTTATAAATTGAAGAATAATAGTTCATATATTATTATAAATAGATTTCTAAAATGAGCGTTACATTTCATAAAACCAGAATATGCCATTGCTTGTTTTCTTAAACATGTTATGCAACGTTTACCTTAATGGTTGTAGATTCAATCCAGGGAAAGTAAGACAATTTGTTAAATCATAAATAACAACTTAATTCGTCACTATTTCTCAAATGAGATCATCAAACAAATATATGATACAAAACCACATTTAAAGCAGAAAAATAACTGTTGAAAAAAATATAAAAAAACAAGAGGGCCATGATGGCCCTGAGGTCGCTCACCTGTATAAAGGCACCCGGAGTGGGGCCAGTTTAAACCCCAGGGCTTTTATTTGAACAAACTTGGTAGACACCCATTAGAAGATATTTCATGCTAAACATCTTAGCTCTAGCTCATTGGGTTTTTTTAAAAGAAGATTGTTTATGTTTTTACTATACACATATAGTTAAAACCAATGACACCCCTGGGGCGGGGCCAATTTTGACGCCAGGGCTTTTATTTGAACAAACTTTGTAGACAATTACTAGAAGATGTTTCAAGCTTAATATCTAAACTCTAGCTATTTAAGTTTTTTCAAAGAAGATTTTTAAGTTTTTGCTATACAAATATAAGGAAAATCAATTACACCCGGGGCGGGCCAATTTTGACTCCAGGGCTTTTATTTGAACAAACTTTGTAGATACTCACTAGAAGATGTTTCATGCTAAATATCTAAACTCCAGCTATTTGGGTTTTTTCAAAGAAGATTTTTTAAGTTTTTGCTATATACATATAAGGAAAATCAATGACCCCCGGGGCGGGACCAATTTTGACGCCAGGGCTTTTATTTGAACAAACTTGGTAGACACCAATTAGAACATGTTTCATGCTTAATATCTAAACTCTAGCTATTTGGGTTTTTTCAAAGAAGATTTTTAAGTTTTACTATATGCATATAGGGAAAATCAATGACCCCCTGGGGCGGGGCCAATTTTGACCCCAGGGCTTTTATTTGAACAAACTTGGTAGACACTCATTAGAAGATGTTTCATTCTAAATATCTTAGCTCTAGCTCTTTGGGTTCTTTAAAAGAAGATTTTTTTAAGTTTTTACTATATGCATATAAGGAAAATAAAAAAAAACCCTGGGGCGGGGCCAATTTTGACCCCTGGGCTTTTATTTGAACAAACTTGGTAGACACTTACTAGAAGATGTTTCATGCTAAATATCTTAGCTCTAGCTCTATGGGTTTTTTAAAAGAAGATATTTTAAGTTTTTACTATATGCATATAGGGAAAATCAAAGACCCCCTGGGGCGGGGCCAATTTTGACCCAAGGGCTTTTTTTAACAAACTTGGTAGACACTCATTAGAAGATGTTTCATGCCAAATATCTAAGCTCTAGCTCTTGGGGTTTTTTAAGAGAAGATATTTAAAGTTATTTTCTTTCGGTTGCCATGGCAACCAGAGTTCTGCATGGAATTAAATTCTTTGAACAATTTTTAAAGGTGACCACCAAAGGAACATTCCTGTGAAGTTTGGATGAAATTGGCTTAGTGGTTTATGAGGAGATGTCATTTAAAGTAAAAGTTTACGGACGGACGGACGACGGACGGACGGACGACGGACGGACGGACGACGGACGAAAAGCGATCACAAAAGCTCACCCTGTCACTTTGTGACAGGTGAGCTAAAAATATATAAGTACGAAAAGTAATATTTCGGTAATTATTCAATGACAGATGTCTGAGGAAAAGTGGCGATTTAAGTTGTATAAAGTGATAAATAAAATGAATTGAAATTGTCTTGTTTCAACAGCTTAACAGTGAATGTCATCAAGAACTTTTGCTCCATTCATATTTGTTTCTTAAAGGTCAAATAGAAATATGTGTGCATGATTACACATTGGAAATACTGAAGATTACTGAATTAAGCTCTTATTGTTTTAACTTTATATAGAAAGATTGCTTCAGAAAATTTTGATTTCAGATATAAACCTGAAAGATCCCACGCATGTTCTTGTGATTGTAATAGATTTGAATAAAAAAAATAAATAAATGAGCCGCGTCACGACAAAACCAACATAATGGGTTTGCGACCAGCATGGATCCAGACCAGCCTGCGCATCCGCGCAGTCTGATCAGGATCCATGCTGTTCGCTATCAGTTCCTCTACTTGTAGTAGAGTTGGTAAGCGAACAGCATGGATCCTGATCAGACTGCGCGGATGCGCAGGCTGGTCTGGATCCATGCTGGTCGCAAACACAGTACGTTGGTTTTGTTGTGACGCGGCTCAAATATGTTTTAACTGCATCGTAAAAGTACTGTTTGGAGAGATAATACTCTACAAATTGTGTAACAATAGTTCTTGGTCACAATCATTGTATTATGTTGGTTATTCTGATAATCAAGTCTGCCGTGTTGTTCGTACACCATAGACCACACGCAATGACAGAAAATGTTCTTTTTAACATCAATTCAATTCTCATGATTATGTTTTAATTCTACAAATCTATGATGTATTAATGTTTTCAAAATAGTTAAGCAAATATTGCTTTGTAAAAAAATAAATGTTTTTTTTTTTCGTTTCCGGAATAGTTTCATTCATGTGTTCTCGTGACTGTAAATATCACATTCAACAGACAGTTTGTAAGAAAGGACTTGGCCAGTAATAAGGATCGTGCCTTCCCAAACATAGTTTATGCATTCTCTTATTCAAATTAGATATAATCAGTAAGAACTAGATTTTCTAGATTTCAATATTTTTTTCTGCAATAAAAGTATTTACCCCAAAATGAGCATAGTATTTTACCCAAAGATGAGCATTGTATATCAGCGGTTATATTTACTCAACACAAGGAAATAAAACAACCTGACAAGAGTTCATCGTCTAATTTAATAACCAGTTTGAAAATCTATGCTAGTTTGATATGATCTGATCATATTAAATTGCAACTGAGTCGTGCTAATAATGGACTGGTTACAAAATGTTATGTGTGATGCAACATTATTTTCTTTTGCATTTCTGAACAAGAGCTCTTTTTCAAGAACAACAAGTTTGATATTTGTCAAGAATTCTTAGTCAATAAACTTGATATGCCTTAATGTAAAATCTACAAATTGTGCTTCATAGATATTTAGATTTTAAAAGGATTTTAGTCGCTCCGAAACTGTAATGTCAATGGCTAATAGAAGAAAAGACAACCCCATTAATATATAAAGCACTTGCAAATATGCCGCCCAAACCAACCTAACTCTCAAACTAAAAAACAAGTTTTTGATAAAAATGGGGGGAAATTAATTTGAAAGAGAACAATGTTCGAAATAATGCCGACGTCATCGTCGGGAAAAAACTGGTTGTCTTTGCGAGTGGTGTGTAACTACGTTGTACAAGACTAGACTATGTTACGTAATTTCTACCATGAACAAGTACAACAACAGCACCAACAAAAGCAGCAGGCCCGGGATGCTCGTGCGTCCGTCTGTGCGGGACTGGATGGGGGAGTATCGTTCTGTGTGTGGGAAGCACCTGGTCGGCTATTTCTCATTCTAATGATCTCATTTGAGGAGCCGGGGTGTCTGTTCATAACAGTGTTCATCTGGAAATAAAACAATAGAAATACGATGAATATCAACAATTCCACTGTATGCGTCATAGTATAAAATATTAGCAATAAATAATATATTATATCATGTTCACTTTTCACGAACGATAAATAATTGAACAGATGTTATCAATGATTTGCCCTTTACACATTTTATGCAATAGATACAATATTTACATTTTTTACATTGTATATAATGAGACAAATAAGATATCATCGATGTACTTATATAATTGTTAACAAAATACTGGTAATGCAGTCTAGTAATTTCTATTTTGTAACATTTGCTCACTCTTGAGTATTTCGGTAATCAGCATTTATTGCGCGAAGAACAAATGCGAGCCCCACCTACGTTACTAGTCGTTATTGCACGGTATGATTGCATTGAGCGTTTCAGTCATTTATAGACAGTTACAGTTTATTTATATACCAATCCTTCATTTGTTTACTTACATATCATGATACATTAATTAGTAGTATTGGCATTTTTATTATTTTTATTACATGTAATTACTACCATAGTGGGTTAAATATTAGGGGTGTGTATATTCTCTAGTACATTGTTATGTTTTATGTATGTGTTTGTTGGTGTGCAAGCAGTGCAGCGTTCATGATAACACGAAAAAACCTCCTACGTTTAGCGGCCACTGAATGTACCCATGTGACCAATGCTGACCAAGATAAGCCGACACATTCATGCTGTCTGATCGTGGTCTGCAATGTCCGTTCACCAGTCATTACTCGTTAACCAGTCATTACTTATTTTTAAATTTTTCCATAAATTGATGAATGATTTTGTTTCAGGTATAAGCGGTGGATACATTCTGAATAACAAATGTACTTTGATGATGTAAATGAGGACACAGACAAAGCAAAGTAGCATGTATCATCAGATACAAGCATTAATACACAGATATATATATATCTATATAGATATTTATGACAGTTCTATAGACACACAGATAAGCCAGACAGGCGTTACATGTTTGTGATTTTAATAAATGATAAAGTATTAATAAAAGTTTCTATAAATTCACGTGAGTATATATGAAAGAGGCATTAAAAATGTTCCTCATGATATGTAAAAACGTAAGATTGTACCGTTAGATTGACATTTAAAAGAACTCCACTGAGGTAAAAAAGCCTAAAATATAAACAGAGTTACATAGATCAAGTGAAGCACTAATATGCAATGGATAATAAAGAAGTATACTAGTTAATTGCAAAGCTTTTCATTGTCATGTCCTTTTGCACCAATATTCTGGGGGAAAACTACTTGATGAGTGAACGAAAATTTGTACAACAGGTTTTGGTTCTGACTTACATTATGGGAATATAATTTCAAGTCCAATCATATCAAAACCCCTTAGTGGAGACCCTTTAACAAATATTTAAATGGAAAAGAAACATGTGTTCTTATATTAACGAGCGCCATTCACCACATTAGGGTATGTGTTGTACCGTTCCCATTTACTGTTAATTATTCAAACATCAATTTAAGTGTTTTGGCATAAAAAATAAATCATTATTTTAATGATGGACACAAAGCGTCATCATTTCTAGTCAATGACAGTAGATCATATATAATATTCAGATTCTTCATCATATCAATCCTGACTATTATAATATGTCATTACCTACAATGTATATTAAAAGTGCTCTTGTAAATTAAAGAAATCTTACCGACGTTTTAGCATAACTTGATAAATTATCCAAACTAACACCTATCCAAACAGGCCACAATAAGCCTCCTTTAAAAGAATCCGAGTCCATTTTTAATATAAACTATATTTTCATATTTATGTAGCGAAATACAGTGTACAAAATGAGATAAACTCACACGGAAGATAAATAGAGCGGGGTCCATGTCACTATCGATATCATGATAAATAGAACACATATATATTGGTATCTCCTCTAACAGTAATATATCCGCCGCGTATCCATTACCATCATTTTTATCACAAATCAACCATTTATGGGATAATATTATTAATATCACTATTTGGATGATTAGAAGTATATGTACATCATTATAATATCATATCTAGAGCTATAAAATATATAAATACATTATATACCAACAGGTGTAATGTTTATACTCTGCACACGTGGTCATTATGTATTATTATCAAATTGTACGGAGGTGTTTAATATGAGTAAAATAAATCTACTACTTCAAAGTGTATTAGAATAAACTATATTTGTACTATTTTTATATTCTTTGTATTATAGCGCGATCAGCAACGTTACGATAACAACTGAAATACGAACTTGATACGGTTGAACTAGAAGGTACAAAAAGATCACAAAAATACAGATTTCTCATCTCAATAATTATGTAAATAAACAAATAATTTTAAAGATAGCATCTATAAAGTGGAAATAAGAGCATCTTACATCTGAAATGAAATGATCTATAACATTCTGGCCTAGCCCATAACCTGCAACCATACGGGATTATTCTTGCCACCAGTATAGAGCCAGGTCAGCCAGCACACCCGAGCAACCTGACAAGATCAGCTAATTTTTTGTATTTTCCATATTGAAATTCCTTACAATATGAATGTTCTGTTGGAAATTCAGAGAAAATCAAATTTAACATACATTCAGTACGTTAAGGCATGTATGAGTTGAACTTTTATACTTAACTTTTGCTCACGACTCACTCGTGATGTTTTGAATGTAATAATCTGCTTCATCTAATGTTAAACAAAAATTGTACACTTAAGATCTTTTTTCTCTTTTTTTCCTCATTTTACTTAAAATTACAGGTTTATAGTTCTTCATACGAAAAATTGAGACAACATGAATAAACGATGCTCAAATATTTTTTAAAGGTATTAATAACCTAATTCACGATGCACTTTTCTTTCACGAAAGTGCAGATGACTTTTAGTTCATGTCATATTTATGGCGAACAAATTCACTTAAATGCAGGCCAAAAGTACAAAATTAATTATAGTTGATCAAATCAAATTTATGAGATATTTTAATGTATTTTCTATAACATTTGTTTTACTTTGAATTTAAGGTACGGCACGAAAATGTAAACATTAGATACCTAGTAATTTTAACCTTATATTTTTTTCATTTATTATCAAAATTGCATCGGTCCTACTTGATCTGTAAAAATATGACCTTGTGAAAATAGAAAATACAACATCGCGACTTGAAACAAGTATGGGCTTTGCGGAAGGCTATCTGTAAACAATTTGACTTCCTGTAAAATTTACAGAAAGAACTGATTATAAATAGAATTTTAATTAGTCATGTTACTCATTTTACTCAGAAACGCCCACCGTTGTCGGCGACATATACATAAAACAAGATTCCGTAAACCGTTAATCAAAATGGTAAATTTAATACCACAATGTAACAAAATTGACGACAAAAGATCACAATAGACGTCATCCGTCATGTTTTTGTCGAGTCACTTTTATATATAGAATTGTAATACTAGATTTAAATATACTTCAACTTACTAACCAATTTACAGAATAAAAATCATATAAATGAGAAATAAATATCAGCATTAATAGTTTATTTGTGTCTCATTATTAAGTATTCGCATAGTAAGCTGAATGTTCAACCATATGAAATAACAAAAAAAATACTTAGAAATAGTGGGAAAATATTAAAGGAAACACTGGTGTTTTGACATATATGGTGTCAAGCACATTATCACGTGACCTCGTTATTTAAAGTCTCATTCGGAAGACTTGGTGCAGCTGCAGGGCAATCGAACTCGTGACCCTTGGCTTTGAAATCAGAAATAACTACCACTAGAACATATTATGACTGCGCCCACTCTGATATCTCTACTTTAAACAAATTAGTCCTTTGACTATAAACAAATAAACATTTAAACAACTTATTAGGGGTTAATTTCCTGTCTAACTCTGCTGGCATATGTTCAAGGTTTTGTTGACCCAACAACATACTATCGTTATAATACATGTAGGAGATAATATCTCATATTTCATTAGAAGCTATTTAATGAGTGTGTGATCATGTAGGAGGTTACAATCATTTACCATACGAGCTGATCATACATAAGTGAGGAGTATTGAGGCCAATCATAATGCTGATAAAACCGCCAACTAAATTCACCTTTGCAATGATAACTGTGAATATTCAGCTATCTATGAGATAAAAAAAAACAGCAAAATGTTTTAATATTTCAAGTTAAGACATTTATCCTCATTAAATGTAACACAAAATGAAACAAATCTCAAGTGGGAATTCAATTCCAATATCAAGCAAAAATAAATTTTCATTAAAAAGTAATCCCATTAAGATAAAAAGTGTGATTTCTACATATTAAGACAGCGCCGCCGTTCTATTATAGATAGCCTATAGACAATAAATCAATATAGTTAAAAGTAGGGAAAGTGACTGCTATAACAAGCATGGTAAGCGGTGAAGATCTATCTATCTACTAGACTGTAGAATAAAGAGCAGATAAGGACTTCTGTTCTAAAACTGATATTAGCAATAAATCAAAATCGTTCCGAAAATTTGTGAATTATCGCATTTATGAATGAAATCACATAGCTTTAATAAAACGAGAACATTTCTCGGATGAGCTATAAATATTTCAGAATTTCGATAAGCCAGCATATTTCATGGAAAAGAAATCTGCCAAAAAACATTTTATAATACATGCAATTACTTTTAAGTTCGTATTTAAGACCAAATCGCCCATGGCCTCAATACATTACATGTAGTGGCATTCCTCATGTAAAGTACAAAACAATGAATGCCAACTGTTGCAAAATGACAGCAAAAATTAAGTTGCACAGATCTGTGTATTTGTAACAGACTTAAGACATAAAACTGTAAACGCAGAAAAGTTTTAACGTAAAATCTCGCAGGAGGATCGTCATTTTAAATTGCTGAGATCAATGAATGCGACGGAAAAGAAATTTCCCTTGAGAGCATTGGTACAAATTGACCAACATCTCGTAAAATTATCACTTCTGACATAAACCAAGAGAACTCGTTTTTACGATATAGAGCAAATATCTTGTCAAATCAATTATACAATGTATTCTTGTGCCCAGGGCTCTCTACACTATATCGTCCAAGATTTATTTTTCTGACAAAAAATCTACACGTTTGCACAATAGTTGTCATTCAAATTAGCAATCAAAGACTTTTTGAGTTATTGTTGTATTAAAAATATTAAAGATTCGTTTGCTTTTGAACCATATTTAGATAATATTACTTCAAGAAACCTTAGGACAGCTTTTACAAAACTACGTATTTCAGCCCATAGTCTCCGTATCCAAACTGGAAGGTTCGCAAATAATCAAATAGGTAGAGATCAACGTTACTGTCAAATATGTAACTTAAACGTAATCGAAGATGAATACCATTTTGTTTTTGTTTGTCCACAATACAATATAATTCGTCAAAAATATATAAAGAAATTTTACAGACAAAAACCAAGTGTGTTTAAATTTGTTAACCTTTTGAATAGTCAAAAATTTTCAGAATTACTTACGTTTAGCAAATATATTTTCGAGGCTTTTAAAATTAGAAATAAAATTCTTTCAAATGTGTCAATGTAACTTCTTGAAGTATGGTTATTCATTTACAATAATATTATATTCACCTTTTAATGACTCCCTTTTTAGGTATTATATTATAGTTCCTACTTTCCATTTTAAGTATCTGTTGAATTCAAACATTATTATATAATGCAAGTACATGTATGTTTTCTTTGTTCTTTAACATGCAATTACATGTTGTTTTGTTTTTCATTCTATAACGTATGCATGTTTTTTTAAAGAAAATATTAGTTCATCCATTGTTGTGTTATACATACATAATTTCATTCATTTTTCATCCTTTATGTATCGCTCAATATTATATTATATCTATGTATTATTTCTTTGTTAAACACTATAGAAACCGTACAGTTTACGTGTAATAAAATCTGTTCTCTGTTCTGTATTCGATCACCTTAATTAGCAAAAAAGTTGCATCAAGCTCAACAATATTATTCAATATTTTACAATTAGCTATTAGATAGAAAAGAGGGGGGGGGGGAACTTTATTTATTAGATCTTTATTTGCATTATATTTTCATTTTACAGTAACAAAATTCTGCTCCTTATTTGTGTTGATATAACGCTCCTACAAAACACCTACTTACACCAAACTACAACTGACATAACATTTTAAACAAAACAACATGAAAAATATTGAAATATTAAACTTAGTATGAATATGTAATGTCACTTTATGCACATGTGAAAAAAATATTGAAGCTTCATTACAAACATTTAAGTCAGTTAACAGCTTTTTACATTACATTTACATAAACGTAGGTCATTCAGTTTTATGAAATATACTGATGAACAATTTTATTCCTAAGTCTGTATCACAGAAATTGGTTATCATTCTTAATAATTATCATTATCACTAGTAATGGTAGTAGTGGTAGTAGTTATACAGTGTAAGAACATGAGGAATGGCATTTTACAAAATTGTTATATTGCAAGAGAACATTATGGATCTTCATCTACCTGCTGCTGCTGATTTAACAATTACTCGTTCCGCCTTTATTAAAATTTTACTTTGTACATGGTAAAGTTTAGTGCGCATCAAATCAAATTGCTAAACTTTTGATAATCACACACTATAGAGTATTATCTAAGCATGTGGTAAAGATCCGTCAGTATTTCTCCTAGCATTCAAAAAGTTAAAAGACTTAACATGTGTTGATTAAAACATTTCTTAGAATAATTTGTACATTGAATTAGTTTATTCAGTTCAACGGTAACAGGTGTTATGTATTTCATGTAATGATTAATTGACACCTAA